CTCTCCTTCTCTCATCTCCTCTATTCTCTCTCTCTCTCTCTCTCTCTCTCCTCTTCATCCTTCTCTCCTCTCTCTCTCTCTCTCTCTCGTCTCTCCATCTCTCTCTCTTTTTTTCTCTCTCTCCCTCTCCATCTCCCTTTTTTTCTCTCTCCCTCTCCATCCCCCCCTCTTCTCTCCCATCTCCTCTCTCTTTTTCTCTCTTCTCCTCTCCATCTCTCTTTTTCTCTCTCTCTCCCTCTCCCACTCCATCTCCTCTTTTTTCCTCTCTTCTCCCTCTCCATCTTTTCTCTCTCTCTCTCCCTCTTCTCTCTTTTTCTCTCTCTCTCCCCTCTCCTCTCCTCTTCTTTCTCTCTCTCTCTCTCCCTCCATCTATCCTTCCTCTCCTCTCTCTCTCCCTATCCCTTCTCTCTCTTCTCTCTCTTCTCCTCTCCTCTCTCCTTCTCTCTCCTCCTCTCTCTCTCTCTCTTCTCTCTCCTCTCTCCTTTCTCTCTCTCCTCTCTCTCTCTCTTCTCTCTCTCCTCTCTCTCTCTCTCTCCTCTCTCTCCCTCTCTCTCTCTTCTCTTTTTCTCTCTCCTCTCTCTCTCTCTCTCTCTCTCTCCCTCTCTCCCTCTCTCTCTTCTCTCTACCCCTCCTCTCTCTCTCCCTCGCTCTTTTCTCTCTCCCTCCCCCTTCCTCCCTCACTCTCTCCTCTCTCCTTATTTTGGAAGGTGTTGTCAAGCAACACCTCTGTCAAATAATTGCAAAATGAAATCAAAATAAACCTGCAACATTTCACCAATATTTCTCTCACTCAAAAGTTGCTCTCAGTTAATTGTCGCTAACCGTTCTCTTTCTCCTTTTCCCCCTCTTTTATTCTGCATTATTTCTCTCCATTCCCCAATCATCCTTCGTTAACCACGTTCCCCCTAGCTTTTAATTTCGTCCATTCTTCTCCCTTCCCCTCTCCTCCTCCCCCCTTTTTATCATCCTTTTCCCTATGCCATCCTCCGCTCTCCCGCTAAAGGTCATCCTCCATCAATAGGACTCCGAGAGCTGGCGATAAAGTCATTCTAATTGCAACGTCTGCAATTTTCACGCCCGGATTATCTTGCAAGATGACCGGGCCCGAGAATGAGATTTTAGCAATTACGAAAGGCATAAAGGGGTGGCGGGATAACGCGCAGGAATTCGCGTTGTCTGTTTCCTTCATTTCCTTGCGTTTCCTCTCCTTTTTTTCTCTCTTCCTCTTTCTTTTTCTTGCTCTCTTTCTTTCTCTCTCTCTCTTATATTTTTCTTTTTGTTTCTCGTGTCTCTATTCCTTTCTTTCACACACACACACGCACACATCACAACACACACAACCAACACACACGCACCACAAACACACAACACAAACACACAACACAAACACAACACACACACAACACACACACACACACACACACACACACACACACACACACACACACACACACACACACACCACACAAACACACACACACACACACACACACACAACACACACACGCACACACACAAACACACACACACACACACACACAAAACACACACACACACGAACATTTTTTCCTACCTCCCATATTTCATTTTCAAATTTTCCTCTCACACCTTCCACCCTTTAGTCCTTAACATTTCATTTCCTCTTTTATCTCTTTCTCACTAAACTTGTTTACTCAGTTCCGCGTTTCCCTATTTCTTTTTCCTTGTCCTCATAGAAGTATATTTTTGCATATTCCCCTTATCCTCATATTTCCCTGTTTCATATATACATATATATTTTTTCTTCTTTTTGTGTGTGCATATGCCTTATCTTTTATATATCATTCTCATTATTCTATATTCATCTCATCCTGACATATCTACCTTATCCTCATATATTGCATACTTACCTTCATACATTCCTTTAATTTTTATTAGGTTTCTACTTATCCTCCTGTATTCTCCTCATCTTAGCCCATATTTTCCTTATCCTCATATATTCCTCATATCCTCATACATTTATCATATCTTTGGATATCCTCCTTATCCTCAGGCACTTTAGCCCTTGTCACTACACATTCTTCTCACTCTCCCACATTCCACTATACATTCTCTCCTCACTCACACTCACCCTCCTTTCCTCATAAACAAACTCTCCTCATCTACTAAGCCTTCTCCCCTCCCCCATCCACTCCACCCCCCGCCCTCCCCTTCTCTCCTCATCCATTAAGCCTTCTCCCTCATTCCACTCCTCTCACTCCTCACGCACTCCACCCCTCGCCCTCACCCTTCTTCTCCTCATCCACTAAGCCTTCTCTCCTCATCCATTAAGCCTTCTCTCCTCATCCACTAAGCCTTCTCCCCTCATCCCTCACGCACTCCACCCCTCTCCCTCACCCTTCCCTCCTCATCCACTCAGCCTTTTCCCCCTCACCTCTCACCCTTCTCCCCTCACCCCTCACGCACTCCACCCCTCGCCCTCACCCTAAGCAACTCATCATTCACTCTTCTTATGACTCACTGGTGCAGCTGTAGCCATCAGGTTCGAGTGTGTAGCCCTGTTGACAGTCACACTCAAAGGTTCCGTCGTGAAGGTTGAAGCACAGCTGTTCGCAGAGTTCGCTGTTGTCGCATAGCCCTGTTGGGGAGAGAGAGAGGGAGAGAGTGAGAGAAGGGCGATTGGCGATGTTAGGGTGAGATAGAGCGAGGGAGAGGAGGAAGGGAGAGTGAGGAGGGAGGAAGGGGAGGGAAGGGGGAGGGAGGAGGGAGGGAAGGAGGGAATAGAGGAGAATAAAGGAAGGGTAGGAGGGAGGGAGGGAGAAGGAGAGGAAGAGGGTGGTAGATGGGTGGAGGAATGGAAAGGAGGGTATGTAGGAGGAAGGTAGTGGGAGGAAGGGGAGAGATGGAAAGGAGGGTATGGTAAGAGAGAGGGAGAGAGTGGGGGAAGGGTAGGGAGAGGGAGGGGAGGGGTGGGGAGGGAAGGAGAGAGGTAAGACGTAGAAGAAAGAAAGTGCGGGTAAAAGTGAGAGCGAGAGTTGGAAGAAGTTTAGTACAGAAAAGAAGAGAGAAAGGAAAAAAAGTTTGAGTGAAAGTTGAGAGAGAGAGAGAGAGAGAGAGAGAGAGAGAGAGAGAGAGAGAGAGAGAGAGAGAGAGAGAGAGAGAGAGAGAGAGAGAGAGAGAGAGAGAGAGAGAGAGAGAGAGAGAGAGAGAGAAATTATGCAAAGTATGGGTAAGGGAAGTGACAAGACATAAAAATTCCAAGAAGCATTGCAAGGTAGTAGACAAAACGACCTTTCTGAAGTTGCCCTTTTAACGTTCAGAATTCAAATGATTTTGAACCTTAATAGAGGTTCTGCAAAGTGTGTAACGACTGACTGACTGTCAAAAAGACACATATTGGATCCTCCACTTCACTCGTTAATGCTAACCTTTGATGTTTGAGCGTGGAGTCAATAGTAATGTCGTTATCATTATCATCATTAAGCTTGGTATTGTAATCATATCTACGTGTATTATGACTGTGATTAAAAAATATATCACTGTCATTTTGATTTTCAACCTTATTATCATCACCATCATCATCATCACCATCATAATCATCATCACCATAATCATCTTCTTCAGCTTTTGAGAAGTCCGTTGTAGGACATAGGACTTCCCTAATCTGGGCCCCCTCTGCCGCTCTTCTGGCAATCGTGGCCTTATCTTAACCGCCAGTGATTGACGTACAACTTGCATCATAGCGAGAAAAAAGGCCCTACCCCCCCCCACGCCGGCCCAATGCGGGTTGGAAGGGGTGGATGTGGTCTTCGCTTGGCAACCCTGCTTCTGCCAACATCGCCGGACGTGGCTGGCAGAGCTCGGGTCATCCTCGACCCTTTCCAGCGGGGTGTCATCTTCACCTTTTCTAATTTGTCAAAATCATCATCGCTCTTTCTATTATCATTATTTCCGCACAATATTTTTTTTATTATTACTCCTACCACTGACCATCACCGTTGATATTCCCTTACTGGGTTGTCATTATAACCTCTAAATGTTTAATCGGCATAGCTGCAATAAAAAGGAAAAACAAAAAAATAATCACTTCATTAGCATTGAAGTCATATTCGAAATCAGAACCTACATACAATAAACAATATAAAATGTAATCACAAATAAAATAAAATCTGTCACACTAAAGCTGTTAATCTTATTCCTTTGAGTTGTAAGTTAAATGCGGGTTCCCTTCACCGCAGAGTTTCGCACGCAATATAGCTCTCGCCGTTCAAACCGTATCATTCACATATTACTATTTCATTGCAACTAAAACCATTATTATCATTATTATACTTTACCATTACCATTATTATCCTTTGTACTTTTCTTGGTATCATTCTTTCAATTCTGTATTCTTAATAACCATTATTACTACTAATCCTGCAATTATTTTACCATTATCAACCTACTATATTATTGCTAATATTCTCATCTTTTATGGTTAGATTATTCTCTCTCTCTCTCTCTTTTTCTTTCTCTCTCTCTCTCTCTCTCTCTCTCTCTCTCTCTCTCTCTCTCTCTCTCTCTCTCTCTCTCTATATATATATATTATATATATATATATATATATATATATATATATATATATATATATATATATATATCTTTAGCACCACTGGCACCACCCTACCATTCACCAGCGCTGATATCAATACAATATCGTTATCTTCGTTATATGTATCAATGTTCGCACCACGATTAATGCTACTACGACCGTTGCTATCTTCGCCTGATCATCAATTGCCTCAGGGAATAATTTAATCACCTTTTGATTCTTTTTTTTCATAATCTAAATCACTGATATGACCTTTTAATTGATCCCGCTGATCAAATCATCGTTTGCGGTAAAAGATAGATACATTAATTTTCTAGTTCTACATTTCATTGTCATTTTCTCTTCTCTTTGTGCACATTTTTCTACATTTCTTATCATCGAAGTCATTTAATTTATCTTTACTTCATACGTTTTAAAGTCATTTCGT